TCTGGGGTAAAACATCTCCCAAAACGAGTCAGTCCTCCAGTTTCATTGACTTCTTCCTCTACTTCTTTCCCTTTGTATGTTACTATCACCTGTTTGTAATTCCACGGGACGGCCTTTGTGTCAACCATTGGTAACTGGGTCACTGGCTTAATAATAACGGGGGTAACACGAGCCCCTTCCACGATTATGACAGGCTTGCCCGGGACCCCTGGCATGATCACTTTTTGCTTTTTCTGGTTCGCCACAACATCAACCGGAGGCCCTTGTTGCCGGTTGATCACCTCTACTTGATTTATTCGGGCGTTGGAAACTTCAGAGTGATATGTTGAGGGTACAACTTTTATCTAGTTTAACCATGGCCTTCCCAGGATGATATTGTATCCCATGTCACCATCTACTACTTCGAAGAGAGTTGTTTTCATTACTCCTTCAGCATTCGTGAGCAGCAGAATATCTCCCCGGGTCGTCACACTAGAAAGGTTAAATCCAACGAGGAGCTTTGTTGGCGGAATAATATTTCTGGTGAGTTTAGCTTGATCCAATACTCTCCATTGTATGATATTAGCCGAACTTCATGGATTCACTAGAACACGTTTAATCTTAAAATCCAACACATTTAAAGAAATTACTAGTGCATCATTGTGTGGTAACAACAATCAATCTGCGTCCTCCTCCGTAAAAGTGATATTGTCTTCCTGGAGTCTTTTATTATGAGTTATTGATATTTTCGTCTTTTTCATTGCCGAAAAGGTGACCCCGTTAATCGCATTCCCTCCGAAGATCATATTGTGGCGTGGGGTTCTTCTCCTGCTTTCAGAGGTTCCACGTTATCTCTGTTATGACCATAATTGTTCTTAGCTCGATCACTCAAGAATTCTCTAAGGTGACCATTCTTCAATAGTGTTGCCACCTCTTCCCGGAGGTGTCAACAGTCTCTTGTTCGGTGGCTGTTCGTCCCATGGTATTCACACCATAATTTGGGATCCCTCTGGATGGAATTGGATCTCATAGGTCTCGAGAATCGTGCCTCTTTAACGTTTCTCATGGTTGACACCAACTCCACTATACTAACGTTGAAGTTATATTCCGATAACTTGGGGTAAGAAGGATCCTGAGACCCCAACGCCTCTTTATTCTGAAGTGATCTATTGTTTCGACTACGATCGGTTCGTCTGTCAACAATGAGCTTGTTTGTTGCCAGGAAGTTTCTGCTACGACCTTCGGTCTGCTCATAAGGCAAAAACCGGCCCCTCGAAGTCCGTCTGTCCGCGTCGTAGTCATCCTTTGATTTTTCTCCGCTCTTCTCCCGTCCTTTGGCCGATGATGTAGAACCGACATGGTCATCTTCGATCCTTATCTTTGACTCGTACCTGTAAGCACGTAATTTTTGACCTGCGCAACTTTTAAAAGTAGCATTTTAAAAATATTTACTTATTTTTATTTTTGATAAGATTTAGCATATTTTCACTTTTAATCTAATAGTAGAACATAAAATTCGAAAACACAAAAAATAGTTTCACTTTGTTTTTTTACCTCATTACATATTTTTTTCAAGAATATTAGTATTTTTGGTAGAAATATTATTTTTGATTTTACGATGATGTTAATCTAATCCTATTTTTATTTTTAGTATGATATTTGAAAAATATCAAAAATAGTTTTGTTTTAACGGTTAGTTTTATTTTAATAGTTATTTCTACTTAAGTAGGACTAATTAATATTTTTGGTACTATTTTATCTTTATTTTTTTTCGATCGTGGTCCAGTTTTTCCGTCTAAAGTTTGGTTGCTACTTTTGAGTTTCCATTTCATCTGTTGGTTGTTTGGGTGTAAGGTTTGATTCGGAGACTCTTATGAATACATTGGGAAAGATTTTTGCTGCTTAAAGTCCAATTCTTTCTCTATTCTCTTATTCTCGTCACTTTCATGTGTTTTTTTTTTGGTGGTATGATTTTGATTGGTTTGTTTCTTAGATTAATATTCAGTTGTCCGATACTCTATTTTTTGATTACTGTGGCTCAACATCTTGTTTATTTTGGTAAATGTTCTAAATTTTAGTTTGATTTCAATCTGATATGAATACAATCTTGTTATGAGACAAATGAGTCATGGGAGTCGGCTTTAAAAAATGTGAAGGAAATTGAGTTTAAATGATCTTGCTGCTTTTATTTTATTTATTTATTAATTAAATCGGCAGTAGCATGCTTAGGCCGACCACACTTGGGTAGGCAAACTTTTAAGGCGTTTATGTTTTAATTTTTTGAGGTGAGAGGATGCCCCTTTAGTTAATTAATTTATCCGGGAATGCCCCGAAGAACTTGTAAATATTTTGGAGGCCGTGATGAACACCATGGAGGAAGTATAGTGTAGGTTAGCTTAGGATTTTAATTTTCACTTTTATTTTTCTTTTATTAGGTGGGGACAACCCTGAGCCTCTTCTGTGTTTATATTTGCTTTTTGTGTGTTTCTACCTCAATTTGAGTATTTCTAAAAGCCAACTAGATCATGTGCGCAATCGTGATTTTCACGGGACTTGGGGAATGCCTAATATATTTTCTCCCAGTCAAATGGACCCCCTTATCTAGAATCTCTGATGCAGTCAGTTTAAGATTCAAATGTGATTTGAAAGAAAAATTATTTTTAAACGGTGACCTGGCACACCGAAATCAAATGTCAGGTGACGACGCTGAAAAATCTTTTGAAACACAATCTTTGTCACTTTCATGATTGAAAACCCTTTGAGTTTTAAGACCACTTTTTTTATATTTTAAAGGGGTTAGTGAGGTGAAAAAAGGGGTGTGACAGTACCTGTTGTGGACATATACTCAAGTTGTTACCTGAAACTCAAGCAGGCTCTCCTTAAGCTTTCGGGAAGCGTCTAAGCTTCTCTGATTCAATCCTTTGGTGAATGCTTCAGCTGCCCATTCATCCGCGACAATGAAGCAACATTATTTCTTTCTGGAATCGAGTAATGAACTCTCGTAATAATTCGGATTCTCCCTGTGCGATTCTGAATATGTCGGCCTTCCAGGCTTGTACTTTTCTAGCCCCGGCATGAGCCTTGATGAAAGAATCTGTGAGCATCTCAAAGGAATTTATGGAATGCTCGGGTAATAATGAATGCCACGTTTAGATCTCTCCTCGTGAGAGTTTCTCCTAATTTCTTTAGCAACACAGATTCAATTTCGTGAGGAGCTAAATCATTTCCTTTTACCGTTGTTGTGTAGGTGGTAATATGCTCCTGTGGGTCTGAAGTCCCGTCATACTTTGGCACTTCAGGCATTTTGAACCGCTTCGGGATTAGTTCTGGTGCCGCACTCGGCTTGTACGGCAATTGAGTATACTTCTTCGAGTCCGGGACTTTCAATATTGGTGGCGCATTCGGGATTTGTTCTATGCAGGCGTTTACTTACCTCATAAACTGTAAAAGTTCATTCTTGAACGCATTGTTCTCTTTATTGAGACCAGGTCCGCTCCCCCTAGTCCCGTCGGAGCCAACTTCACCCCTGGGAGTGTTGTTGTCGACTGTCTGCGTTGTTTGGTTTGCGGGAACACCGGGAGGAATTGGATCTCGTATGTTTGCATTATTCGAAGCCCCCGATAACGCCTGCTTCAGCTCCGTCATAACCTTATCCTGCCGTATGAGATTGCCTAGAATGATCGCATGTTGCTCTTAGAGGACCCTTACCGCATCCATGACATGCTCTTTATCAGCATCATTGGGAGTTGCGAGTTGTCTCTCGAACCTGTCGAGAGTACTGCCTGTCATGCACCGGCGTGGCGTCATTCCCCTCATTGCGAGTGTCATTGATTGAATCCTCGAAATGAGGTTTATCCCCTCGAATTTCAGGGTTGTGCGTGTTGTTAACAGTGTTATCTGCCATTTTTTGTGATTTTTTAAGGCAAAATAATCAAATCACGTTAGTAAAAAAAGGCAAGGATCAATTTAATTGCACGACTGTCTAGGCCCCACTGTGGGCGCCAAACTGTTTACCCGTAAAACGGTACAGTTGAATTTATACATGGTTTCTAGACAAGTGAACTAATTTAATCCTGAAATAATGCAATAATTGAAGAAATGTACAATACTTAGCCTTAAAATGTAGATGAAACAGCAAAGATGACCGTTTCGGGAACAAGGTTTTCGGGCACAACAATGATGAAATCAAAAAGCGAAAAGTAAGATTGTATTAAGCTTTGTATAGAATGCAGTGTAAGTTTACCCCGAAAATCGTGTCCTTACAATGACAATTGAGCTCATTATTTATATCTATGCAGAAGGTTCTTGGGTCGTGCCCTTCTTTAATGTCAATTATGAGGAGCATTGATGAAGACGTAACGGTGACCATAAATGTCAAATCCCTTGTAACGGGTAACTACTCTTAGTGGATGAATATTCTCTACTGAATGCTACCGGGAGAAGAGCATTTATCACATCTTTATGAGCATTATTCTTTCTGGTGATAAACGAAACAACCTTCTTCAGTCTTCAGTCATCCCCCGTTTTTGGTTCCACGTGTCCCTTTCTCGGATGGCCACGTGCCATAACGTAGTTTACCCAATACAATGGTATTTAAACACATTGATTCGGTATTTTCGATGTTCGATTCTTAAAAGGATATACTAATACTATATCTAATTAAATTTGGTTTTTCTTCGTTCGGTTTCGATTTATTTGGTCTGATAACTTCGATTTGTTCGGCTCGAGCTAACTTTTGGTTGAGTTAAGTTCACTATTTATTTCTTTATCAAATATCATATTCACTTTCGAACAAATCCACTATAAATTTTGAGGATGACAAACCAACCAATAAATTATATACAAATAATAAAAGTTGCTTTTTAAAATATAAAAAAGAATTATTCGTATACCCTAGTTATTCTCACGAAAAAGGAAAAGAAAAAGCAAAAAAAAGGAGGTTCTCAATAAAATAAAAATATATTAAAAATTAATAACAACTAGGCTGAAAGACAGAAAAATCCTACGTGCTTTGCCACTCGCCCCCAAAACGTTTCGTTAAAATAAGTACACTCGTGGTGTGCGTGTATTCAAACTTCAAAGCTTTGTTAAGTGTGAGAGAAAATTGTAAGTAGCAACCAGCAAGTGAAAGAAGACGCTGGGGAGGAAGGAAACCCAGGTGCATTGACCTGAACGGTAATTTTTGCATATATTGCAATCACCAGTTGTTTGCTAGATCTCCTTTTTTTTGGGCAGCTTTGGTTTCAGTTTGCCTGCCATGTGTTTGTCAAAATGCCTTCTGAAAGTTCATCTTCGCACGTCACAATGCCAAGCTGAATCAGGATTCTCACATGTATAAGCTGTAAAACTGAACCTGCCATAAGCGCACATTTGAATGCGTTGTTAAAAATTAACCTAAATGTATCATTTGGAAAGATTAGTCATTACATGTGCTCACATAAGCAATGTTTAAAATTACTTGCATAGAAAACTAACTTCTATATTTATAGTGTGAATACCCTTTGCCCCTAAATTTTCTCTGTTCTTTTCTTCCCGTAATGTAACAGTCAAAATGCTGGCTTCTAAGGGAGCAGTTGTCCCAGATTCTAGAGTGATGATGAGGACCTTATTCTCCCCCTGCAATGTATGTCATTACACTCTTAGAAAGGGAGTTTGTAGCTTCATATGCTTCCTTCTTCATTTTTTCTTTTATGTTTAGAAGCTCAGATTTCCTTTTTGATGATGAATCTTCTTGATACTTCATATGAAGTCTCCTCATTAATACTTGCCTTTTTTAACTTCGCTCAAGAATCTTGTAAAAGTAGCACCTTTTATGTTGTTTCATCTTTAAATAAAGAAGCCAGATTATAAGTGTGAACTATCAGGATATATAAGAAGCTACCATCGTTTTACATGTTAAGCTGTTGAATGCTGAGAACCGCGTAACCAAGGTTTTCGACATGCCTCAATATGTAGCAATAATTTACCTTTCTCATATGAATAAGACCCGAGTTGCATTTCAGAAAAAGTGGTCCCACTTCAAAAGATGCATCTGCAGAGGGGGAAAGGATTAGTAAAGGAACAAACCACAACTTTGACTAACTAGTAGAAGAAGTAAATCAAGGTGCTGCTGAACAAATTGTTCGAAGACAAAATCCTATAATGAGGCTTGTCTGTAAAAGTTGTGATGATACAATATGTTTGCCAATTCAAGAGGGAAGATCATATTTGTTTTCCCTCTGTCAAAGCAAATATTGCTTTCTTGAAGTAGAAAGATGAAGTGCGGTCCATTGCTCCTTCTGTTCGTACTTTGTCAAAAGTTTGGTGGAATTTTCATTTACAACAGTTCTCTATGTGGAAAACCTCTGACTCTCTGGTTTAAGTATCCTTTATCTCTTGAACTGATAAATTTTTGCATAAAATAGAAAATGGTTATTTTTGAATTGTATATGTTGGAATAGTTAACAAAGGTAATATCTTCTCCATTTACCATTAACTACTTAAGAGTGAGTTGATTTTGAATATGATGGGGATGTGTTTTGATATTATTATCCAATAACTGCAAGCCAATTCAAGCATTTGGATGCATTTTCCCCTATACCTCCATGCGCTCCTATCCCACCCACCCTCCCTTTTTCCTGACTGTCTTTTAGGATGTAATGTGTGCAACAATTTTTGCTTAAACCATAGCAAATTTCATCCTTTATTCTGTTATATGTAGTTCTGAAGGACTTTATCACTTCTAAGTAGATGTTGCATTTAATGATTACTTTTTAAAATTTAACAAGATATTTGACACATTAGTGCAAGAGTGTATTTTATGGAAAACAATTTTGGTCCCTACTTCAATTGCTTCCCTTGCTCTGATGTACCAAATGTGCTAGATACAAGATACATAACCTTCCCTTGGCTCGGAGTAGTGCAATAGAGTTTATGAACCAATCAGCTCTATATCTTTGAGTTTATGGACAATACTATCTTTGATTTTCTCGCTTTCGGGGTACTCTATTAAGATATTCTATATTTGGCTTAAAAAATCACACCTCTTTAATCAAATCAAATTATTGTTATCCAGATTTCACATATACCAGTTATTAGCTTTGGACGGAAAAGCTCGTCAAAAGCCTATAGTGCAAAAATGGAGCTCTCAATCACACAACCTGATGATTGGCATCTTCATCTTCGTGATGGTGACGTTCTTAAGACAGTTGTCTCGCACAGGTCTTTAGTTAAATTCTTAAGCTGATGGTGTGGGACTCTAATCAATATTGAGTAGCCGATTATGATAGATTATAGTTTATGTTCAGTTCCTTCTTTCCTTCTTCTACCACTTTGTTTAATTCGGTTTCTTATCTTGATTTTGACTTGTTCATGCTGCATTCTTTGATAAAGTGCACATCACTTTGGGAGGGCAATAGTTATGCCAAATTTGAAGCCTCCTATCACGACCACCGCTGCTGCTGTAGCATACCGGGAAGCGATATTGAAATCTTTGCCTGCCAATAGTGATTTCAATCCTCTTATGACACTTTATTTAACAGATACAACCAGTCCTCTTGAAATCAAACTAGCAAGTAAGTCCAATATATTTTTTTATATGGAAATATCTTTTATTTAAAATCACATAAAATTACATTAGATGTTATTCTTTTTTTTGTTGTTGTGATAAGGTAGGGTAAACATTAGATGTTATATATGACATTCTTCTATCATAGTGCAGGCACGTATCTTAGGAAACAAAAAAATAAGTTTCAGTGAATGATAATAGTTGAACATACATGTCAATAAGATCATGACAGAAAAGGCACCACTAGAAAGCCTATTTGTTAAACTTTAAGTAGTGCTGAAATAAGAGACATTGTAATTCTTCATTAATTCATTCTAAAGCTGACGTTTTAGTTTTGCTATTGTGACAATGTATACCTTTGGTTAATAAAAAACTATTACTCCCTGCAGCCTTGCTTCTGGCATCGTACTTCGATGATTTTGTATAGTTTTTCAGGTGGTAATATAAATGGTACTAGGGGGTCAGGGAAATGTAGTTCCAAATTTGAACATAAGACCTTAAAATTCTTTTCAAACCAATTTCTCCCTGTTGCTTTGCTTCTAACGTCCTACTTTGGTGGTTTGGCTTTCTAGATGTTTGTAAAATGGGCACCTAGGGTTCAGGGAAGTGTAATTCATAATTTGTTCTTAAGACATTAAAGTTCAAGGCTAGATTCTCGGCTACCTGCCATCCTTTGCTTTTTTTTGGTCTTCTTGTTATGTCTACTTTCGTGTCAGATCATTATCCTTGAAATTCTGAAGTCAGTGTTGCGAGGCTCTTGTCCTTTACAAAGTCCGGCTCCACTTACCTCCATGGGAATTTAAACATGTTGAATTTTGTAGCATTTAAGTTAAACTGATTGTGTACAGTCAGCTGGGTGCAGTTTTCTTTCCATAGTGAATGGTCCATGTTCATATTTTTCTTTCCATGAAAGCATTTATGTATTATCTTTTTTTTCTTTTTCTTTTTGTTGTTTTATCTAGTATTTTGTCCATTTTTTTCTAATAAGATGAGAGTAAAACAGGAGAGAGCCAGGTCGTATTTGGGGTGAAGTTATATCCTGCTGGTGCCACGACAAATTCACAAGATGGAGTGACTGATCTCTTCGGGAAGTGTTTACCAGTTCTACAGGAAATGGTTGAGCATAATATGCCTCTGCTGGTAACTTGATGCTAAACTTGGTGCTAAGTGATTCTTGTTCCACCAGAACGTTGCATAAGCTATAGTGTACATGCTAACCTTACCACCAAAAAGATATTGCTATTTACATTGTAGAAAGCTGCACATTAAAACCTGTCTCTTTATGTCGTGCTAGCTCTAGGTTTTAGCGGTTGGCTGATGCATCTTTTGAAGGTTAGTCTTCTTCTTGAGAGGTTATGTTTTTGAGATGTTATGTTGGGGAAAACGCAAAGAAGATTCAGTAACCTCTCAATAAGAGCACTTTGCCTTTTGACAAAAAAAATGACAAAAATTATGGTACTCTCAAGAATAGAAGGACCCTCAGTTGTGCTTTGTTCACATTATTAAACACAATTGGAACAAAAAGATAATATATATTTTAAGAGAAGAAATTTGCACTCAGTGAAAGAATCTGTCAAAGTAATGAATGGAGCTGCATACAAGATAACAGTGCACCAATCATTTTCTCGCCCTTTACTGCACAACTCCGAAGTAAACTTGCTAACACGGACAAATTTGGCCATGTGAAGCAAACCTTTCACAGTGCCATGGTTCTGTCTTTGCTTTGGTCAGTTAAAACTTCTTTTCGAACAGACCATTTGTCAGCTAAAACTTAAAAGGAAGTAACCCGTCATTGATGCTTCTATACAAAGTTTCTGAACTAGTCTTTGTGGTCAAACTATCTTAAAGTGTTGATTACTTTTCACCCTATTTAAGACATTATTACAGATTTATTATCATCATAATTCTTATGGTAATACTGGTTCATCATTGAGTTTTAAAATGACAGATGTTATTGTCATCCATTTAGTTGGGCTAGCATTTCATAACAGAGCAGCACTTATATTTTTCAATTTTTTTCTGCTTTGCTTATGGATACTGGAGACTGCTAGAATTGATCTCATCAAGTCTATTACTATCAACATATTCTAGTGCGCTGGGTTTTCAGGATTATTGTTGTTTTTTATTTCAAACAGAAATGCTGTTGTCTGTTCCTTGAACCTTCTCTTATTATTTCTTTCCTATGCTAGTCGCTTTTCTAGTTTCATTTTATCTTTTGGATCTCTATAAAATAAATTCAGCATTTAACTGTAGTAACTCAACCTTAATCGTGTCTTTTTCTTCTCCCAAATATTCTGCCAAAGCTTGTGGTTTTTGTCATTTTCCTTGAAATAACTTCATTTCATAGGATTTTTATGTATTACAGTTGACTGCAGGTTCATGGAGAGGTTACAAATCCTGAGGTTGACATTTTTGATCGAGAAAAAGTATTCATTGAAACGCTTCTAAGCCCTTTGGTTCAGAAATTTCCACGATTGAAGGTCGTGATGGAGCATGTTACAACCATGGATGCTGTAAAGTTTGTTGAATCTTGCACTGAAGGTGATCTTTTCTACTTGATCCACCTCTTTGAACTTCTCTCTTCTTGTCAGTTGAAAGAACTTTATTGACCCTCCTTTTCAAATGCTAATTTTGCCTTGCTATCGTTCTTTTAAAGGAAATGTTGCAGCGACTGTCACCCCACAGCATCTTGTTTTGAACAGGAATTCTCTCTTCCAAGGGGGCTTCCAACCGCATAATTACTGCCTTCCAGTGCTCAAAAGAGAGATCCACAGTAATATCCTTTATCTTTTCATAATGATGCTCAGATTCTTTCTTGTATATTTGGTGTTTGTCTTTCGGTTTCAAGAACAATCATGAAGTAACATTTCTTTTAAATTTTGAAAAACCAGCTAGGATTCTTTTTAACCACCTTAGTGACTACAATGTCATGTAGATCTTGTTTGGTTCAAAGAAGGGGATTGGGAACTTGTTCATTTTCTTCTCCTGCATAAAGGACTTACCATTAACCTCCACTTGTTTGGTTCGACTCCAACTGAAGTGGAAGAAGTTGATTTCCTAATTCCCCAAGTTTAGACGGTTTTGAAAAGTTGAGGAGTTGCATATCCTACACGTTTTCTTTTCCTCAAGCAAGGTTAATTTTTTCCTCATCCTTTACTTCCCTTCCAGTGAGTCCTTTTTCACTCTGTCCAACCATAATTTATGAGAATATAGGTTTTGAGAAGGTAAGGTAATGTATGAGAATATAACTAATATTAGAATTTCCTCCAAGGTTATTTTTGAGCTTGTTTCTTTGCCATTTTTTACTTGAGCACATTGTTGGATTGTAAAGATGTAGTTCAGCAGACACACCTTCTTAGTTAATAGCTTGAAAAGATCTAGAGTGCAACTTATATCACTTGACTTCGCCTCATGTCCAAATAGTTTGAATCGGCTACACTACACGAATCCTCTGTGGCCATTCGGCTCCACTCCTGATTAATATTTTTCCAGTAATGAGTAATTGTATTTTAAGGAAAATTAGGGATTCTTTTAAACTAAAGGTTCTCTAGATCTCTTTTTTTTCCTGCACGAATAAAAGGAAGGACATAAATACCAAATGATGTGGTATGCTTCTTTAGCTACACCTGGCTATGGTGTGGAACCCTTGCTTATACTTCAAAAAGAATATTGTCTATATGCCTACTATCGTGTTAGAATATGGCATTTTGATCTTGCTTTATGGATTATCTAAGATATACTGTCACCATAACAAAGAAGAATTGGATTAACGGCTACCGAGCCATCTACCTTGAAAATTTGAAAGTTAGGTAGAAGCTGTATTTGCCTGTTATTGACCCTTTTCTGGGTACAATAATTTGCTGAAAGTTTCCTCGTCTAACCTTTTTTTTTTGGGCTCTTTGTAAGAGTTATGAAAGTTTTAGTCTTGCTGATGCTAATATATGTGTCACGAATCACTATATGATCAAGCTCTCTTTAATTTGTTAATTCTATCCATTGCTTTTTGAAATAAAAAAGTGAACCAAGTGCTTGAAACAAAATTCTTATCGTATATATAGATTCATTGCTCACAAGGTTACAAGATCTATTGCATTGGTCTTTCCCATATTTTGCTACTTTTCTCTTTTCTCTTGTTCACTTGGTACATATTCTAATCTAATAAGCAGTTTCGCTTTGAACTATACAGGGCAGGCTCTTGTGTCAGCTGTAACAAGTGGAAGTAAAAGATTTTTTCTTGGGACTGACAGCGCTCCTCATGATAGACGAAAGAAAGAATGTTCTTGCGGGTGTGCTGGTATTTACAATGCTCCTGTAGCCTTATCAGCATATGCGAAGGTGTTTGAACAGGTAATTGCAATGGATGTCTATAGTGTTTCTTGCGAATGTTACTTTTGTACTCTTTGTTTGAAGTTTGATGGAGATGGATGAATACATGCCCTGTTCATTTGTCCTAAAAATTAACTTCTTTACTCGAGACAAGTAATTATCTTGCATCACGAGAATAAATTTGGTTGTTTGCATTTTAGGCGAACGCACTTGACAAGCTCGAAGCATTTACTAGCTTCAATGGACCAGATTTCTATGGGCTTCCCAGGAACAACTCACTGATTAAGTTGAGCAAGACGCCATGGAAGGTGCCCGAATCCTTTTCCTATGCATCGGGAGATATTGTTCCCATGTTTGCTGGTCAAATGCTCGACTGGTTGCCCTCTCCTCTCTGAGAGAGAAAAAGAGATTCCCATTCTCATCTGACATTCTTGTTGTACTGTAATATTGTGATTATGGACTATAGGGGTATTCATCTTTGCTTTCCTGTTGATTTGGCATTATCGGAAATTCAGAATGATAAAGGTCATTTCGATAATACCTTTTCAGCCAAAAAAGTATCGAAATAATAATAAAGCTTTCTGGATGTGACTGCAAATTAAGCTATAAATCTTTTGTTGAATCATGTTAGCAATTTAGTCTCTCGTAGCGTACTTCTACAACTTTTTATTTTTGTTTTATATAATATTAAATAAGCGAAATAATAGATAAAGATTCATATTGCTAATCTCAAGTTGTGATCGTAACAGAGATGCAGTACTAGTTGTTGCAAGTGACCAACACATGACTAGTGACTTTGACTAAGTACTCTTTCATTTGCTTATGAAGGAAAACGATTAAAACGGGCGAGAATTATTCCCAGTAAGATGGCATTGGTTTTCAATTTAGACTACGTGTCAATGTCATAGACACAAGCGACAGGATTATATTATTCAGAGGAAAAGACAGTTGACGTCTACCCTGTTGGGTTTGAAGGAGGTTGTATTCAATAAATCTATCTCAAATCTTCCAGATATAGCCAGCTATTGATTACAGGTCTATACCAAAGTATTGTTCCTCTGCTTTCCTCAAAGGTCACATACTCGCATTGAGGATGAATATCATATATATACGAACGATTATCAAGATCAATTGAAAAATTAAAATTGTTCAGCACTTGCTAAGAACAAAGTATAAAGGCACATGGAAAAGGAAGAAGATACGCAAACATATGTGAACCATACATGTACGAAGCAAAATAATTGATTAGTCATACCTTTATATTTTTGAAAAGTTTGAATCACATTTGACAGGAATGCAGACAACATTTTCTAATCAACATATTCCCATCATATTAACACGGGTACTGTATCTGAATCTAACAATGTAGGAGCTCAGTAAAATACTTAAACCCACGGCCAACTCAATCGTATGATCATCACGTCCAAGAAAAGTAGCATGCCAAAATTTATGTCCGCAAGCCACAGCACGAAACCAGGTCCCAGTTAGCTGTTAAAACTGTTCATCATATCCTGTCTTTACCTCATGCTGGCAGTTGAAGCTTGGCATTATTTTTCCAACTGCAAAACAAATTTATTAGTAGTTTGTTTGCATCGTCAAGAAGTAGCCACTCCAAAAAGCTTTAAGGAATTGCTACCTGATGAAGTAATAATAAAAGAAATCTGCATAAAGGGCCGTCTGGACAAGACCAGAGACGCAAGCTGCAAAAGGAAGAAAAATAATTCAACTTTGAAGAACCATTGCGACTGGCAAACAAATATTACTGGTTGTATCTTGGAAAACTTACATATCCATCTAGTGAAATGCGGCTCTGTCAAATAGCGGTAAATCCAGTTTAAGATGTAAAATGCACGATAGGCCCTGTAATCATAAATCCAGCATGTCAGTGACAATACCAAATAAATCTTTAACTATTTGAAATCAAATTGTAAAATATTATTATGCCTGACATTATACAACTAGAAAGAAACATATCCAGCGTGTGTACATAACTTAAGAACCTTTAACAGTTAGATCCCTTTCTGCTCCAAGGATTATAATACAAAAGGGAAGAGAAACAAAATCAAGACGGATGATAAATACGGGTAGACAGTGAGCGTCGTGTGAGAAAGAGACCACAAATCCATTTTTTTTTCATACAATGACCTTACTAATCATTTCCCTTTCTTTTGCAGTGAGATGGATATAATTGCTATAACAATAAATAGTTCAACGGCTTAAGGAACATTTTAACGGAAGATCCTGCCCTGCAGAGTAAGGAAAGCATCACTTGCAATAATGTAATACATGTAAAAAAGGATTCTCAGGACCTAAGACATCTTCTTTTGCACTGTACTGTAATATGGAAGATCTGGAGTATGTTCCTAAATTTTTTTGGAGATCAGTGGTTAAAGCGCACTACTGAAGAACACTTTCACAAGCTGGAGAAGATAGAAACTACAAAGACAGTTTAAGTACTGATAGAATACAGTTCCCCCATGCATCGTGTTGGTATATGGAAAAGAGGAACCAATGCTTTGAAGGAAGAGTATGTATCACATCATTTAGAGTTCAAATGTTCACAATCATGTGTAGAAGATAGATTCTTGGATGAACTTCATTAACTCCTTGCATAATTAAAATGGAGACTAGTCTTTTCTAGCAGCACTCAATTGGGCTGTTCTGCGAACAAATTTGTACGAACTTATGAAAATAAATAAACAGCAAATTGTCCAATGTCAGCTCTGACTGATAATCGAACTCAGATAAAAAAAAATAGATATGCCCAAATCAACATAAAATTGCTCCAATTTTCAAAATATGATGCAAAATAATGTCCTTTCAGGAAGTGGCCAGATTTACCGGAGAAGAAGCATACCCAAGGAAGAACACATATTGGCCAGTCAGATTATCAACGTTCCCACTTCTTTGCAAGAGTACCAACTGGGGAAGAATGGCAACTGCCTCCAGGTATATTGAGAAAGCCCAAAACACCTGAAACAACAATATATGTAGCATCAACAGTGTCAACAGGGAGCAAGCAAATTTAAATTTGAGAATCAAGACTCGGCAAAAAAAGGATAAAGAAAACAAGTAACACAATCTCTGTCACAGGGTCATTGCGGAAATTCTAATCAGTCGTAGGAGGATTTAATGGAAGCTTATTAATTAGTATAGCACCTTGCAACATAGTGTAAGGCTCAATCCTCACTGGCATTCCCCACCCCACCCCCCAAATCCCATCCCTTTTCCTCTCCTAGCCCACAAAATAAAAAGAAGAGACTCAATCATTAATGATATAAACTGATGAGTCAAAGTATAAGGATACCATGAGTACTGAGAAATCTCATTTTTCTTCTTTTTATCTCTTTTGATGTACTGGGCTTAATGGAGGAACCTCATACTGTTAACACTGCCAAGACAGACAGCTAGATGAATGAAACGGAAGGGAAACCAAGAATGAAAATACAGGAAGACATTTCAAATCATATAGACAAGAAGATGTCTTTACTCATGCAAATTGTAATGAAACATACTATGAACAACACCAAGTCGTAAAAGAAATGCACAAAATCCACACCCATATGCATTGAGAGTTTCATTGACCTAGTAAGGTTATAGAGGATGAGAATACTTGGCGAGGACAGTGGAAAAAAGAATTCGAGAGTTCAGCTGGCTCTGAATAGGGGGAAGTAGCCAGAGCCCAGAGTCAAATACAAAATAGACAAGGTCAAACTTCAGTCACAACTATGTTTGCCCTTGGATCTGGTTAAATCAACATAACAGAACATTCCAATACAAGAGATGCAAACAACTAACCCAAATGGCTATTACAGAAATTCTTCTTCAAGATAGGGCAGGCTGATTCAGATGTTAACAACAGCTGATTACTTAAGGAAGGTCTATCCATTCACATGACTGCAAACATATCATTTCAATATGTGTCAGGCTGCTGACCGTATATTGCCGACGTAAATAGTTTATATCTTCTTATGAGAACTCCTAGGTCACTATAAAATCGTTCATAGCTTGTCATGCAAACTCAGAGATAATCATGAAATGGGTTACCTTAAGAAGGTCTGTACAAGCACTCTTTCAAGGTTGCAATAACCATGTACATGCAGAGTAGCATGTGAGTAATAGCAAACAGACATTTTATGGTGTTCATTCACTTAGTGACGGACTGACTATGTGAGCTTGCTCACATTGTTGGTCTCAAGCCCAGATAAAGGAGGAGGATTATGGTAGGCTGACAAACAGCATAAAATTAGTCAATTTACCATGAATCCTCATGATACTGAAAATAGCATCTGGACGTGCCCATCTAGGAGTGCATTGCACCGGCAACCGGAAGTTTGAGAGGAGCTTGAATGGAGTGACATGGTCAGTGATGAACCATAAAGCCGACCCAAACTTGCTTAGAATTGAGGGATAATTGTTAATGTATTCGATGTCACTAGTAATGGATTCAAAGAAACACAACACTTCTAGAGAAATTCACTATTTACAGTAGCCAGCCTATTAAAATTCAACTCTGAAAACATGGTTGTCGCAAGCACCAACAGGATGCTGTGCTTGCCAAGATCAACATATATAAGTCACCAGCTAACATAAAAAATTAAGTGAGAAGAAGCAAGATTATCATTGCTAGGAAAATCCATATAAAATAGTTAGAACATTTACAGATCACTACTAACCTCCTGAAAGGTAAACTTCTCATGAAGAACAAGCCCCAAAGCGAAACATGCTCCAACAAGAATCCAGTAACGAAAAGTATCTAGCTCACGGTCATATGAGCGCCTGACAACCCGGTGGTACCTCATACACCAGACAATTGCCAAAGAGCTTCCAATAAAAACCAGTTTCATCACAGTGTTGTAAAGAGATATGAAGTCGCTGAACAAATCCAGATACCGAGCCAAGAACACGATAGCATATAACTCCTGTGTCTTCAATGATATTCCTGAATACAGCTAACACTCTTAGCCAACTAGATTTCAGCACAAGTATATTTCAAGCCACTGGAAGATGCAATGAGTCCCTTCAATGGTGAAACTTAAAATATAATGTACAAAAAGGTCTGTACACGTCAATGAATGAGCTATTGAATTCTAAGAATCATATATTTTACTTTGTATTAAGAGAAAAGGTAATGTTTCATTCTCTTTTTCTTTTTTGATAAGCTTGTGCACACCTCAACTATTTCACCGGCTACCTGCATGCTACCTCCCACCAGCATAGGTAGTGGGTAGCTTTGTCTAGACCGAGTGTTTAAAATGTTTGCTGCAATTTGAATCCTGGTCTCTGAGTTTTGCACCCTCTTCGTTAACCACTAGGCAACACCCTTGGTACATCTGTAATTATACCGAGGTATTTATGACCTTCCTTATTAGTAATCTAAGTCCTAACATACCATACTTCAGCTGGTTTGCTGATTTACTTTTGTTGAAAACATCCACTAGAAACGAACATGTTAACGTGTATCTCTTCATATTTTCAAATTACTTACAGTGTCACTGATTTCACTAAATGTCCTACACAAATACAGATATCCACTTTGTATGTGGCACAAAGCTAGCCTAGTTAAAGGTCCAAGACTAGATATGACACAGAAATAGTCACGAAGCGTCAAAGAAGTTTCCAAAC